CAGGCCTTGATCAGTTGATTCAAACCTTGAACCATTAAATTATCAATCTACATTGTTTTGAAAATATTACAGTAAACCATTAAGCCAATGGTTTTAGGCCGATGTACGAGGAAAGTTGTTCCAGTGATTAGGGCTTGGGGTTTGGGGTTTTGGGAAGGTATTTCGAAACAGGGGCCAGGCCTCAAACATGTTAACCAATAAGCCAAAAAACGAATTGTTTTGGCAAGTTGGGCCTATGTAGGAGGAGGGTTGGTTTAGTTGTCCAATGGGTTTCCATCGGGGGGAAAACCGTTGGCTGAATGGATTAATGGTTTAACTTTTACCCTTGGTTTGACGGTTTACTGGGTTTCCATATTGGGGGACACCATTGAACTTCATGAAATGGACTGATGGTGTAATGGCTTATTGGTTTAGTGGCTCAATTGGTTTCCATATGGGGGGAAGGAGTGGATGAATGCCTATTGGCTTGCTGGTTTGAAGCCAGTTTTGCGGACCACTTTTATTTTCCAAACACTTTCCGTAAACCCTATAGGGTTTGGGGTTTGGGCCCTAAATCCCAAACTCTAACCATGAAAATGCTGGTTCAGTTGTTGATGGCTTAAAGGGTTTAAGGCTTTCATATCAGAACCGCTATTTCGAAACGCTATTGTCGTTTCAACGAGTATGTGGATTTATAGTATCATGGTTTAGGGGACTGCCCTTGGTGTAGAAATGCAAAAATTGTGGGATGCCCAGGGCATCCTGGAAGGGTAACTTTCACGTGAGATGATCACTTTAAAACAAGGAAGGTGACTTCCGCACAGGACCAGCTACGAGATTGTGGGGATCTTTACAAGGAACCATGCGAGAACGTGGCAGTGGAATTTGTTGAAAATGCGGGCTCAAGGGGCGCGATACATCATGTGGCTGTCGTGATCGTCTTGACCCTCTTGGCCATCTTGACGTCTCGACCGTCTCGACCGTCTTGACCGCCGTGGCCGTCTCGGCCGTCTCGCCCACCTCGGCCATCTTGACCGCCTGGAGACCAAGAAGGTCAAGAGCGTCAAGAAGGTCAAGAGCGTCAAGAAGGTCAAGGACGCCAACGTCAAGGACGTCGAGAAGGTCAAGGGCATCAAGAACGTCAAGAAGGTCGTACGATTTACCGTTCCCCGTGGCCGGCGCGCTCTGCTTGTTTGGTACGTAGAAAAAATGCTTAATTAATGGAAAAAAACCTATGGGAGCTCTTGCTTGAATTAAGGCCTACCAGTGTCCCCATTTTTTGAGTTGTTCTGCTGCCCTATCTTTATGGATATATATATACAAAACAGAATCCAAACTAAATTAAATGAACTGTAGGATTGGCTTCGATCTGGATCATCAGTATTTCCAAAAGGCCGTTGTAAGAATGAAATAGACACCGTAGTGAGTTATGAAAAATCCCAAACGTAGTCTGATTGAAATCAGGGATTCATCAACCTTATAATTAGAAATATTTGCCTTTTTAAACGCAATAGCTAATCCATTCTAAGTCATTTAATTCACTCCCGCCCGATAACACATGTTTTTTTTCTCGGGCCTGTTGTTGTCTATTGTCGGGCGGGACGTTGCTTCTAAGTATGACGCTGAGATATTCCTGGGAAGTAGCATAGTTTTTTATTGTGCCATTAGTCCGCTGTATTTTGGAGCAGTCAAACTTCAAGCAACAGAAAGCCATTTATTTACAAAGTATGCCTCCTGAGATTCCCAGACTAGGTAGACTTTGCCCCAGGAAGGCTTGTGGCTTGCTACGTTGGTGCCCACTGTGATCTGAGCGGGAGTCGGATCAACGAGTTAGGGGAGAGAGCGGGAGTCGCAGGCTTCAGGGCCTGAAGGCGAGGTTTCTCCGAGCCCATCGTTCAGCAATGGCATGAGAGCTGGTCTTTGGGAGGCCATGGCCCATGGACGCATTCAGGCAGCTCTCGGCGATCTCCTCGATCGATATACTGGAGCAAGACTTGGATGTAGATGTTTTTCTGTTGGCTGAGGCAAGCATCACTATGCGTTCATCAAGAAGGCACGTGGTCGTGGCTGTCGGTATGTGTTGCAGGGCATTGACGTTTACAGGGCTACCTTGAGGTTGGAGAGGGCTCTTTCGGAGCTGCCATTCTTTGCCAACATGATACAGACAAGGAGCGCGACACGAAGGCAAATGACCAAAAAACAGCAGGTTCCCTTTGCACAGTGCTTGGGCGCACAGGCAATCGTCAAGATGATCGATATTAGCCGAGCTTCAAAGCAGGAGAAGGACGATGCCTTGAAAGAAAGCAAGGCTTGGCTGCAAGCATGCGGAGGTGTCGGAGCTTTGTCGTTTGTCGTCGCTCACTATTCCTCGGAAGGTCTTAGCGTCCCTGAAGCATCCCTACATCGTCCGTTATAGGGAAAGCTTCAACGAGGCACTTGACTTGCAAGTTGCAAGACACAGCCCCTCTGCCTGGATTGCAAACTTGAACAAGGACGGGTGGCTTTGCATCGTCATGGACTACTGTGAAGGAGGCGATCTATCAGGAAGGATCAAGAACGCAAGGCGATCTTGCATCTGGGATGCTTGGAGCGGGTGCTTGTTTGCTTTTGGCCTTCGAGGCAGTCCTCCAAGATCTTCCCTCAGGATCAGGTTGTGAGGTGGTTCACCCAGGCTGGTATTGGCAGTGTTGGCTTTGACTGCAGAAAAAGCATAGAATGGAGGCAATCCTGGCCCTCAAGTATATCCATGACCTGCACATTCTCCACAGAGACTTGAAATCTGGAAATTTCTTCCTGTCCAAAAGCGGCCCGCGCCTTTGCTGAGTCGGTGGTGTAGAATGGGGCATCAGACATCCCTGAGGTAACATAAAGATGGGAGACTTTGGCATCGCCAAGGCAAGGAAGGGATGCGCTTTTGCGCTGCATGTCGTGTGCTGCCTGTCCTTCACTGCTGCTAGCATGCTGGGGCTGACTTTAGACAGGTGTTGGAATGCACCGCAGCGTGTGCGCAAACGCAGATTGGCACGCTTCGGACTCTGGTGGTCAGGAGTTGATGCTTGTGCAGTTTGGTGCTTAATGATTTGAAAGACATGAGCTTGAGGCCATACTATCTCTCCCCGGAGATCTGTCAGGGCAAGAACTATGCCTGGAGCTCCGACATTTGGAGCATGGGATGCATCCTCTACGAGATGTGTGCAAGGCGAGTTGTCAATCCTGGTGTTCAAGCTTGAAGTCTGCGTCGTCTGTGCCATGTTTTTGGGGCTTCCTCCGTTCAGTATGAGAGAGCGGTTTGCAAGCAAGAGAAGTGACGGATTTTCGTATGTTGCCGTAACGCTGCACGATGACTCCTAAGCAGTAAATCAGCTTGTCCAGGAAGGTGCCCTTTGACGCTCCTGACCTGAGACTTGCCATGACATATACTTCCACAAGTGCATACGTCCTTACACGTGCCTGGCCATGCATTTGTTAAGGAAGAGCCTCATCCACAAGATTACCAAAGAGCCTGCTCCAGAGGCGTAGCCGTTACGCTTTTGCACTTCTACTTGAGAAGTACACCAAAGCCTTGGCAGATCCCTGCGGACTACTCGGTGGGAGTCCGCAATCTCGGGAAGGCTCAAGCCCTGCACACATTCAGTATCGAGGGCCATCCTTTTGCAGCAAGGAGCTATTGGACAGGGACCCCAGCAAGCGCCCTCCTGCTGCCGGAGAGCCAAGATCAGGGAAGATGCTGCTCCGCACAGGGCCACCTTTCCTCTCATGCTGTGAGGCTGAGATCCTGAAACGGCCGGTAGTGCAGGAGATGGTGAGAAGGCATAGGGCATAGATAGCTTCAAGTTCACAGAAGCCAGGCTTCCTCTAACACTTTGTATCTCTTTGTAATCTTCTCGTTGGCGCTGTGGCCAGGATGCTTGATGAGGTTAAGGGTGAGGCCGGCGAGGAGGACGCTGAAGCTTCTTGTGGCAGCTGGTGCGAGTGGTTAAACGGCCTGTGGGCCAAACAGCAGGCACAGAAAGGTTCCTAGTCATTATATGAGCAGGCACGTGTAGAGATCGCGCAGTCACTTGGCTGTCCGTGTGCCTTGGGTTGGCAGCAAGGGTAGTGGAGCATGCGGCGTGAATCCCCGTGATTGAACCTCATGAACCTCATCCCCCAACGACACGCACTGGAGACATCCTGGCAACACCCTTCGACAAAGACAGCGCGAAAGACATGCAAACCTGAAGTCTGAAGTCTACTTACTTGAAGTACGATATGGTGTACGCTGTCTGACATGCAAATGGAGGGCGGCAGGGCCTTGCGTGCACATCTTGTAAGCCCCGAGCGTAGCCGAAGTCTTTGTCAGTCGGTCGTCTAGGGAGAAGCGCGAGTTATGGAAGCAGGAGGGCGAGAAGCCACCTCCACCTGCTCCGACAGGCGATCTTTCTTGTGGCCAATGAACTCAGCCAAGTTGTAAACCTAAGCCGAAGCCCTGCTGCCTATCGCCTTAGGTAAAAGGGTTGGGAAGGTCGGAGGCAAGGTTTCCACGACATGGCAGTAAACCCTCTGAAAGGTGGCGGGGGAGGGGCCGCAGCTTCTGGGGTGGCTGGACCTTATGGTAGCCTGCACCTCAGATGCTTTGCAGATTGTCAAGTGCGGTTGAGCTGTTGCTTCGGGACATGTGCCTGACAGGCACTGCGGGCAAGTACACAAAGGGCGAGCTGGTTGAATACTACAGCGAGACGCATGGTGAGTGGTGCGCCGATTCTGAGTATCCTCGTCTATTTTGTCTAGAATCAGCAGATGCTGGCATCTTCTTTGCAGGCTACCTGCCACAGTGACTGCTGCCAACGAAGATGGCCCGCTTCCGAGAACTTTCACAAGATACCTTCAAGTCACAGCACGCCACAGCAAGCCACAGTATGATGTGAAAGGAAGCAGGATTTGTAGCCGGTTCTGCCAATCTGGACCGACCTAGGACGAGTGCAGCTGAACGTGAAACCAGGAGTTTGGATCTCGCTGGAGGAGATGCCGTTTGTTGCATGGCTGTTCCGCGTCCTTTGCAACTTTTAGATTTTGGAGCCGGACAACTTTGGACGGCATGTTCTCAGCTTTTTTTTTTAACATCTTCGACTATGTACAGATTATGCTGTTGCGGTACTGTTCGCCTTGTTGCAGTCAGTTTTGCCTTGGTGCATCTTTCGAGCCAGCGGCCCTCATCGCTCATCCGTTCCCGTGCTGCCAGATCCAGGGTGCCAAAGTGCGGCCACGGCAGTCAGCACGGAGCCTCAGACAGACGAGTTGCTGTGCACTCCAAAGACCTTTGCTCGGGATTCCTCCAAATTGTGGCCAAGTGGTCAAGGCACAAGCACAAGCCACACCGGCCAAGGGCTCGGTGCTGCGGTGCTGTAACCGGAGCAGGCTCTGCCTTAAAACAAATGATCTTCTTCCTCACACATTTGCAACCGAGGCCAATGGCAAGCTGGGGGCTTTGCAGACTAGCAGTAGTCAGTGACTTCTGCAGTTGCTAGCACATCTAGTGGCATCTAGTCGCAGTGGGAGGAATTTTGGAGGAGTTGTCGCACAGGCCGCCGGCCGGAGGCAGCAGCCCTGCTCATCGACCTCCTGAGAAGAGGCCCGGGGACTTGCAGGAGTCTACGGAGGCTATGCGCAGCTGGTCAGGGAAGGTGCTCTTCAGCGACAACCAAGTCGCGATGCTCCCGTGGAGCCCTAAACCCCTCGTCCAGACCAGCACGAGCTGCGAGTTCTTCAGTGAGGCTCGGGGCCCGGGCAGCAGTCCTGCCCGCAATCCGTCAGCCGATCGGGGAGCTCGCGGCCGGACTCCGCAGGGCCGTGTGCGCTGCTGAGAATTCCGCCCGTCTCAAAATCACACACATGCCCACTTGGAATCACCACTGTGACGAATGCCAGGCGGCAAGTCCCTTCGGCAATGCTGCTGGAATGCCATCTGCCCGAGGAAATAGCCGAGGTCGAGGTGCCTTCCCATGCGAGCAAGGGACTCCTAACATGATTTGCCCGAAAGAATGTCCCTGCAGGTTGAGAAGCTGGGCCCTCAGCCGCAGAAAGCAGTGAACCACGACAAGCACCACATGACCGCACTTGGAAATCGAAGCCCGAGGTGCAGCTTGTAGCAGCTTGCAGTTCTGAGCTTCGATGCTGAGAGCGCATTACGCCTTACTCACACATCCTGAAGTTGAATGTGCCTTCTGGGTCCAGCTCTCCTCACTTTCCGGTTTCACCCATCACGCTCAATCTCTGCCAGCCCTCAAACCGAGGTGCCCAGCAGAGACCCGCAGTCATTCTGATCCCGTAAGCTGCATGCACCCCTCCGGAACCCTGCAGCCCTAAGATGCCCTAAGCAATCTTCAGCAATTTTTCGAAAGCTTTAGCTACTGTGGAATGCAAGCCCAAGCCTTCATTGGCTTGAGGCAGTCTAGTCAGGTCCCAGGATTGGCTCTCACTGAGCGGTTGATAGCGGTGGCGGAAACCTTTTTAAAGGCCAGCCTGAAGCCATGCCGAATCTTGCTGAATTTAAGCTTTGAGCTATATCCTGGTGCTAGCCCCAATGGTCGCCCAAAGCAGAATGGAAAGGCGACTCTGAGGTGCATGCTCGCTGTTGCAAAAAAGAGCTTGACACTTGTTGACCTGCTGTTTGCACAGGCGTGCGTGCACGCAGGCAGGCAGTCGTGGCCAGATTCCCTACTAGGTTACTAGATATGACATGCGCCGGCACAACATGGCACAACACAATTCTCAAGAACACTTGCAGTAGGTGGCTCTTAATGTTTTGCTCGCATTGCCCTTACTATGGAGCTGGCATAGGCATAAAGCAAAATTTGATAAGGCATCAACAACAATTTGGCAAGCATAAAACAATTATTTGACAAGCATCCAAAACAAATTTGAGCCGCAGGCCACTGGCTTGTTGGCTTTTCGGCTTTCCTGGCTTTTGGGACTGTTCTGCATGACATACAGGCCCTGGCTTCGTGGCTCTTGTTCTTATGTGTTTTGCTACTATTTTTCTTGTCCGTATTAATTCGTATTACGACCATTACCATTCCTGCTGATGTGCAGGTGCCCCATACGTAGTTGAAGAGGTTAGAAGTGGGGTAATTACTTCCCTTCTCTCATCCCCAACCATGGCAGCACGCGACACAGCGGAGGTTCTTTTACGCAACCAACAGGAAACGAAAGAGTGCAGTTGCTAGATTAGGGCTACGACTTCATGTAGAGCCTGGGACTACTATACAAATGCTGTGTTAAAATGCCCAAGGACTCACGCATGTTCCTAGAGTAGCCAAAAAGCAATGGGAAAAAGCATGTACATGCATGACTGTGGAAAACATGACTGCTCAGAACAAGTACATTTCAGTAGTTCCACTGACAAGCGGATAAGTGATGTACGGACACATGTTCAGGTTCCATGTTCTTTGACGTCATATGAGCGTGTTTGGTGGGCTGGGCCTTTATTTCTAGGTGTACTTTGAGGAATGCAAATGACGCAGGGCGGCCTGAGATTTGCTTTAGCAGGGTATCACAAGTTGGGAGTAGTCATGATTGAGTCATCTTGCCCATGTCCATGGTGCCCCTAAATGCCGAAGGATTCCCCCAAACTGACAGCACCGATGAGGTAGAGTCCTTCCGATCTTGTGTAAGCTCAACATTCACTTGTTGGGCAGTTACCGGCAGAGCTTCCAGCATTATGGTCGTGTGTGCATGATCAGTGATCAGTGCACGCGGGGCGAAGATAGGGGCTTTGGAACAGGACCCTTTTGGGGAGGCTGTGCACCTGCCTTGGCATACCGCTTCGTGTTTGGCGTCAGGATTTGGGGAGCCATCACCCTGAGTCCCAAGCGGCTAGTTACCGCTAGTTCGGCAGGTCAGCGGCCGCAATCGCGGCTTTTTGGAGGAGCATCTTGGTTTTATTGCGCCAGGAGAGTTTTAGGAATCATAGGTTTGCTCAACTAATTCAGTTCTTTCACGGTTCCTTTCCCCTTTTGGCCCAGGATCCAAACCAGGCAGGAGGGAAACAACCCTCAACCCGTTGCTTGGAAGGCTGAAGCTATGCTGTCAGGGATAAGTGTCTTCCAGCTGTTTGGGCACTGGGAGATCTGTGATACAGGTGGTGGAGGCACATTTGATCCAGTCCCCCCACGGAGCGGAGCTCAAGGCCTCAAGGTTCCCCCAAAAATAGCGAATCAACAGTCCACACTTTGTGATGGTGGATGTAATTGCAGTGAGGTGTTCCAGTCGGGGTCCAGAAGGAACAGTCAAAATGGAGAATTGCTAGCGTTGACTTTGCTTTTCAGATATTCTTGGTCATTGGATGCAGGCTTCGTGTGTGGAAGCCTGGTGCCACTAGGAAAGGTCCGATTCCCCTACGGTTTTAGGTTTCTTCGCTAAGAGTGAGTGTGATGCATGGGGTTTCCCATCTCAGAGACGGTAGAGTCGCCATGGAGTTAAGCCCATTGCCTACATGCCTGAAAGCCTGAAACGTGAAACCCGCGACTCGGACGCTGACAAGTCCGACCTGCAGCCAAAAATCTTAAAAGTCCGAGTTCGTCCATGCAAAACCTCGAAACGCGGCTCGTGATAAAGTGTTTTTTGTTAGATGGGGGGGGGCCTTGAACAGAGTTCCATTTCAGCTGCGGGGAGGGTAGGTATTCGTACAGTCACTCGTTGAAAAGACAATTTCCCTGCACTCCAGGCACTTCGGAGACTTGTCCGCCTTGACCCTGATAGCCGAACATGGCTCCATGGTGCAGGGATTAGATAGAGGTTATATAGGGCTATATAGGGTTTGTATAAGAATAATGGGGGAGAAAGTCGAAACTACTTTGTTTACTGGGGTTAGGGTTTAAGGTTGAGGGGATTGAAAGGAAGGGTGCACAGCCCCTTGAACGTAGCTTGGAACCCTCAAAGAGCCTAGGCCACTAAGAGAACTGTTATCCATCCTTCTTGGGCTTCGGCTACTCCACTTCGGTCTTGCAGAATTCCTCTCGATGTAAAGCAACTTAAAGGACTTAGGGTTCAGGTGTTTAGGGTCTAGGGTTTAGGGTTCAGGGGTTTAGGGTTTAGGGCCTGGATGGCAAATGTCATCAGGGCAGCCGCTTGAGTTCGTCATGCTGCCAGCAGCGCAGCTTAACGGAACAGCGGCCAGGACAACCAGGGCGAGTAGGGCGGTCTCGCCCCTCCCCCCAAGAGGGTCAAGTATAGAATCCTGACTATCGAGCTGGCTCTCCCAAACAAGCATGGAACCCTGCAATCTATAGTATATTGGGGTTATATAGGGGTTATATTGGGATAATGGAAAAGAAAATGGAAACTACTATATCATAATAGGGTATTTATTGGGGTTATATATCCCCCCTGCAAGATGACTGTAGTGTTCAATGGGATTAGGGCTTGGGTGTATGCAAGTACGGCAACCTAATAGAAGACGTTGAATCAGCAACCACATACCAGAGGTTTAAGTGAACTTGTCAATAAACTAGGTGGTTGAAGGCAGGTTGAAGACCTCAAGCACACAAATGGTGGATCCTGAATATCTGACGTATCTATTCAGCCACCCTTTTGGGCTACAAGGTGTGTAGTGTATAGACATTGGGTACTGCCCCCACTCAGTAACACTTGGATAATAGTATAGTCAAATATAGCCCTTAATATGACCCCTATTCTAGACTGTTACAGGGTGGGGGCAGTACCCACTACAGACACTTAGCCGCCTCGGGTTGCTGTCTGATGGGCACCCTACCCATCCCTCTATACTACCCAGGCTGCGGTTTCCGCCAACTAGGTAGATCCACTGTTATAGAGTTATAGATCTGCATGAGTAAGGGGGGGAAAAGATGCAGTCGTGGGGGTTGCTTGGGCATTTGTACAGTAAGTTGGTTTCCATATCAGCCCCCAGGCTGAGGCTTGGGTGTATTCTCTGCAAACCCCAAACCTTAAAACCCAAACCATAAACCCCAAATCCTAAGCCTCAAGTCCTAAACCCCAAAGCCCTAAACCCTAAATCCCAAACCCTGAACCCCTAAACCCACAACCCAAAACCTTAAACTTAAACCCTATCCAACCTCTGGCCTGTCTGTCGTGCTTCGACACGAACAGGTGACGCTGTACGCACGTGGTGCAGGGAACATTTCCTTGACCCGTAGTTTTGCAACGCGCCCCGATGAGGCTTTCCCAAAAGTAAGGGTACCATTTAGGGGGTCCGTATAGTAAGGATTATAGTATACATGGGGTCCTTAGTTAGGGAGACTACAAAATTTTCCAAGGGCCCAAAGCTGACACATCAAAGTTGCCAAGTTACCTTGACTTCTTCATCCACTTAGGCATGTAGGTCATCTGAGCAAGCTGGGGGAACCTTTCTCCTTGCAGGGTCCAGACTTCCCATGAGGCCCAAACACTATCTAAGGCTACTTCAAGCGCGGCCCAGACACAGACGGGAAGTGGGTGGAATTCACACCCTATAGCACGCTGGACTGGATGGCAACTCGCAGGAAACTGGTGATGGGACGGGTTTTTGCCAATGGTAGGTGCCTTTTCTTGTACACAAACTTATAGGATCTTGTAGGGTCATTTTCGCAGGAACTCATTGTTACGCAGAACGTCTTTGCGGGGTTGAGTTTAGTGCGGATTCGAGGTGTCTTGGAGGTGTCTCAAGACACCAACCATCAGGACTGCATGCGTCATGCGCAGGCTAGATGGCGAAGCGCCTAGTGCGACATGTCCGAGTGTGTTTTACGAGTGGGGGGCCCCCGTGTGCTCTTAGTGATAAAGGAGTGGAGGACAAGGCTTTGAACCAATAAGAACAATAATTCAGTCCGATATGCTGTGTGCTTTAAATCTGGCCACGGCTACAATGTCACGTGCCCACGATGTCAGCAAGGGGCATTCTCCAAAAGCAACGCCTCAATGTGTTTCGGAGGATATTTTTCTGCCTGGAATTTCGTAACTTGATTGATTCCGGTGGCGCAGAACTCTCATCATTGAATAATCGCAGACTGACTTCCCTGTCCTGTCTCCATCCACCATAGCCCTTGTCAAAGTCCCATGTGGTAAGCCCACCTGTGCCATCATCTTGTGAACCAAGACAGCTCCAAGACAGCTGCTTCAAAAGCCTCAGATTTCTTCTGACAGGCCCCTGCCATGCCCGAAACTTGTGGGCCAGACTCAGGCTTATGGTGGAAGACTCAAGTGTTGCCGCTGGGTTCCGGGCAGGATGTGAGGCTGATATGCAAACAGTCTCTGGTTGCCAAGGATAAAATCCGACCTGTCCTCGAGATGTTCACTCGTTGCACACCAGGCGCTCGTCCAACAAGGGGTGGAAGTACAATCAACTTCTCTAGATCTTACTAGGCACACTCGAAGATATTCCTAGGTCGCCCAACTATTTGAGACGACGCTAACGAGTTCGTGGGGTTGTTGGATACTAGGCCCTGTTAAGGGGGATCTTGAGGTTTCTACAGAGGAAAAAACACGTTCAATAAGCTCAATATTTTTTGCATATAGAATTGTAAGGAAGGTGAAGAGCACCCACGCAGGGCAACATGCAGTCCGGCACGGGTCAAATTTGGCAATGGACTGAAACCTTGTTTTTATGTAATGCAGGGCCCTGAAGTCTATAGTCCCCTTAACTAGATAGAATATGGCTTTGGGTATATTGAAATAAGATCCCCATATATAGCCCATATTCTATGTACAAAAGGGGGACTATAAATCAAAGAGAGTAGGGAGCCTGGTGGAGGTGCAACCATCGAGTACAAGGCCTCTGCAATAGTCTGGCACTACCGCGATTGTGACGAGGACAGGCTTACGTGTGCACATGGAGCTATGATTAGTCCCCCACATGTCAGTAGGGGATGGCTTGGATGTGTTAAGGCTTGTTAGTTTGGCGAGTTGCACAGTGGTGGAGCCTAGGTTCTCCATCTCTGTGTCTCATGCATACAGTGTTAAGGGATCAGGTCTGTATGAGCCACGGACTAAACTTAGGTTAGGACGATAAGGGGATAGGGGATGTAATGATGTAGGTGGGACCTTCAAGGATTATATTATATCTTAAGTCCAGGGCTCATACGGTTGGCTTGGGTGGCGTTTTTGCATTTCGGTTTTGATGTGCAGCGTGGACTTGATTTGTACCGCGGCGCCAGATGGTTGCAATCAGCATTTAGTAGCTCTCCCAAGGCACAAAAGTGTTGTTCGTGGCCTCTACATAAACTCGCGACTCGCCCCCAAGTCTAATTTCCACAGCTGTGTAGAGATCCTATTTGGGATGTTTGGTGGTGTCCCAATATTCGTGTGCTATCTGGACTAGGGCCACCAGCACCTCAAGCCCAGAACTCCCATCCTCCAAACCCAAACCTCGTCTGGGCATGCCGCCTATAACTTACATAGGGGTGCCCAGAAAACAGGGTACAGTTTCTGCTAAAATAAGCGCCAGAAAGGCTGACATGAATTGTTGGGAGGGTTCCAGGGCAGGGAGAGCAACTTGCAGCCAGCTTTCTTGGCAGTGTGGGTCACATATTTTTCCAAGTGAGCACACATTATGGTAACATGATCCCTGCTTTCTTGGCCACTAAGCCTAAAGACGGAAGCCGACAACCCACCCTAAACCCTAAACCGTAAAAATCCCTTCTCCCCAAACCCGAAGCTGACAGGACTATGGCCAGTTCAAAGCCAAAGAGCTAATGCACCAGCGGCTTGACTCAAGTCTTTTTCTACTACTTGGGGCCTATGGGGTAGTTCAGGTGTTAGGGAACGTAGGGATTATCAGGTCAGGGGTTAGGTCTGGTGAGCTGGGGTCGCTTAGGGGAGTGCGTTGCTTCACTTTCTTGCCTTTGGCTGAATCTGGAGAATGTCGATCAAGTTGTTTCAGTTCCTGGGTCACTGGCAGGTTTTAGGGGTCTGGGTTGGTGTTGGCACCCTAAACGCTAAAACCCCAACCTTAAACCCTTAACTAACCTAAAACCCTAAACCCTAAACCGTTTGGATTTGGGGATCCTCCGTGGATGCTATGCGCACAAAACAGGCATGGCACGTGAAAAGCACCTGCTTCAAAGGGGGAAGGTGAACAAGTACATTTGTTCAAGAGGAGGCCCTAGGTGAGTTCCAGGTGTCTTAAGTTTAGGGTTCACTTACTTAGCCAATAGCAGAACTTGAACCTTTTTGGGTCTCTATAACCAAGTCTAAATTTTATAGCCCTGGTTATCAGAGTTTGGGGCTTGCAAGGTTGTTGCCGGAATGCTTTCTTTTGGCTTCCTCACCAGGCGCGGGGATTACGCCTATGAGGCGGCCTATGAGGGATGGTTCAGTGGTAGGTCTCAGAAGGGCGTCTTTGCCTACAGTCCCTCAAAGTGATATATATATATGTCTGTATACACACATATATATACACATATATGTATAAATAGACCTTAGTTGCCTTAGTTTAAAAAATGTCCTTTGGCAAATCTCGAAGAATCATCATGTCAAATGTCTGATTGTTCTCACGCTTCAACAGTTTCTCAGTCTGTAGGAAGCGTGCCTGCGGATTAGACGACCCTCAACCCGAGAGCACGAGTTTAAGCCTAAATAGTAGGCCGCTCCACGAGAGAGCATGAATTCCAGAATTCCAGCCGAATTCTGAGGATGCTCCATGCCAGAGGGAAGGGAACCCAGCCCTGCAATGCAGGGCGCAGGATTATCTCAAGGCGTTGACAATTTAGAGGGCGCTTCAGGTGCGAGCGCGATTTCCAATTGCACACAACTCTATGAGCAGAGTGGGGGTCTCTGCATGCGTGTGTGTCGATTTAATTGCGAACACGTTGATGACTCAATCAGTGTTGAGTGATGTCAGAGTGTGGTGGCTGCGCGGGTTGGGGCAGCAAGGCGGACCAGACCAGCCTACAAATTAGAAACTCACACGATGATCGTGTGGGAAAAATAGCGTTTCTCAGCCCAAGGGCCTTGCATGCAAGGCCTGCAAATCTGGGAGAAGAGACGTGCATTGGGATGCGCAATTTGGTTCAGGCCATATGTCAGAGATGCAGCAGTTTCTGTCACGTGTTGCGTCCGTTGGCTGGCGAGTTATGAACACATCTTGTTTCTCCAGAGCCACATGAGCCTTGACAAGTCCTGCGAACATGCACAGCCCAAGTCTCGGATAGCCATAAAAGAGAACCTTGTCCTTGCCAGCTTTTCTTTGGTTCTGGAAATAATTATGTTTTTTGTCTCAGTCGCGGAGCTAGCGCGCGGACGTCCCAGGCCAAATCCCCAAGAAAGACCATGTGCGGAGTGACCAGAGGGAGAGACAACGTTTTTGGGGCAAACTGGTCGCATGTTCACAGCGTAGTTAGCTGCTCCCCTGTACAAGCGAGAGTGTGACCCAACATGCTAGCAGAAATTGGCTTAGGCACTTTTTCTACCCTGGTAAAGAACATTGAAATGGGGGTACCGCAGTGCCGAATCAAGTTCTCCTTCCGGCTTCGGTAGTTCCAAGCAGAATCTAATGTTATTTGGTGCATTCACCAAGAACAGCGGAGAAGTACTCCTAAACCCAAATAGTAAGTTTCCATTTTCCATTATCCCAATATATCCCCCAAATACTATAGTAGTTTCGGTTTTCTTTTCCATTATCCCAATATATCCCCAAGATACGTATAGTAGTTTCCATTTTTCTTTTACATTCTCTCAATATATCCCGAATATGTACCCTAAACCCTGACGCTCCTCAACCCCCTACCAACCCTAAACCCTAAACCCAAAATAGAATCCCATTGATTTGCCCCTTTTTCCGCAAGCTCAGGCTTGCCTTGATGTTGGGGAATCTACCCTGTGCCATAAGCCAGGGCAACAAGACCCTCAGCTCTAGTGGTGTTGAAGCGTAGGGTTTAGGGTTTAGGGTTGGTTGGGGCTTGAGAGGTGTCAGGGTTGGAGCTTGGAGCGTGAGCGTTGTCCAAAAGGCTTCGGGACAAAGAGGTTCATTGTCTTTGTGGAGCCAAGCCCTGAAAAGGTTTCAGAGTAGGTCAATGGCTCCCTGGTGCTTAGGAGGGAATGGGGGAATGGATTATAGGCATTGTTAATAGGGATTATATAGGGACTACTACAGGGATCCATTCCCCCATTCACTGGGAGCTAGATATATAGGCGCAAGTACCCAAGCACATGGTGCTTGGGGATTTTTAGAACGGTAGTTCTGTGTTGGGCTTGAGTGAAGTATGTTAGATGGTAGCGTACTGGCATTCTAAGACTTGGGGGTTTTGGTGTGTAGGCGCTTTGCGACTGTGATTTCAGATTTGTGGTTTTCGGATTCGGGGCTTCCTAGGTTCTGTGGCACTTGGTCTTGTTCCCTAAACCATTGTTTAGGAGGTTTTGCTAGGGCCGCTCACTCGCCTACTTGAGAAATTCCTGACTGAATTTACTGGGTGACATTTGGCCTTGGTGCAGGGTGTTTAATATCAGGGCAGGTGAGTAGTAATCTGGCGTACAATAATAGCAGCGTGTACATCCCAACACTGAACAGGCAAGAAAAGGGGGACTGCTACCGTTCTGGGTTTGTAGGATTCACCTACTCCTCATCAAACCTATCAAGAAGGATGGCTTCAGTGAAGGTTTCGTACCAAAAGCTCACGCTTGCGATCTCGGGAGTGTCTCAAGGCTATGCAGCTCCGCAAAAACCGGAAGGTTTTCGCTATGTTCCCTGACTGTCGTTTACTCAACAACAAGCGCCGCCCCGCCGAGGATTGTAGAAGTGGCCTCCCTCTCCGTCCGAAAAGGGGTGGTGGTTGGCAATGCTGTGCAGCAGCCTCTCGTCTCTAGGATTTGGGGTTTGCGGTACACCTAGTAAGGAATTTTTTGGCTTGGACGTACATGGGCTTTTTATTATTGTTCAGGTACTCTGCATGCAGAAATAGACCAGGACGCCGTTTGAAGCTACACCTCGCAACGTATGATAAATTCTTGGTGAAGTCCTTAAAGGAATTACTCGCCCTTGTGATACAACATGGCAAGTACAGTCTTTCAACTCCCCACGCCAAAAGAATGAATGCAGGCCACCCCCCCCAATGTAGTACCTAGATTTTGGAGGTGGAGGTACAGTAATAGGGGCTGGGTGGGGCTTATGGAAGAGGACTGGATGCTTTGACAAAAGCCGAGCCTGTAGCACGTCTTCGTTCTTTCTTAGGCAAGCGACGTAGAGACTGTTCAGCGCTGCTTTTTGGACACTTGAGGGGACCTGTCAGGAATCAGGCCTATGAATCTGGGATATAGTCGACTATAACTCAAATGGTCTTCTGTTTTAGCCCACAACCTGGTTGCTGTTTTGGGGTTTGTTTGACTAGTTTCGGTTCCTCCCATCTTGGCTTCCAGAAATTAGGAGCCTCAAAAGGGTTTAGGTTTTAAGCTCGAGGGTTTGGAGTTAAGGGTCTAGGGCTTGGATAAAACCGCGCATCTTCCCCAATGGGGACGCGTAGAAGCCTTTCCCCTGATTCTATACGATGATTTGGCTTGAACGTCGTTATTGGGAAACCCTCATCCCTATAATCCCCTATATAATCACAGTTTCCATTTCATTTCCATTTTCTTTTCCATTTGATTCTCCATTATTGGTATTATTTGTATATTTGGATCTCTAGGGGATAATATTCAGAAGGTGTATATACTGTGGGATCCTGAACAACTAGGATCCCTCCTGGGCGACGCTTGCAGAACAGGATTCTGCAAACTTGCCTTCCATGCGCCTTGATATTCTGTAACTGGGTAGGCCCCTGGGATATTTAATATTTTCCCTAATGGCTTTAATAAGGGACCCTATACACTAATATTTTTCAAAGGGTTTCAGGGGCCAACTCAGGTAAGCAAGCTTTTTAAACGCAACCGGCAGAATGTGATGGCCATGGGGCCCCCATCTTTGGGCCTAGGGTTACTGAGTCGTTCTAACCATCGTGATAGGCGGACTACGCAAGCCAGTTATAGCTTACTCGCATTTGTCTTACAGGCGTTTGGCGTGAACTGTTCTGACCTTGCATTGTCTCAATTTTGCCCCCGGATGCCCAAATCCTAGGTTGCTGTTAAGGAACTTAAATTAAGTTACTATAATTGGTATATATAGTAATTAATAGGGTTTCCCCAATATAGTAACTTAATTTAAGTTCCTTAACAGCAACCCAGAATCCTGTGCTTAAATGATCTATGTTTGTTTTGTCCGAGTTTGGGAGACATGACCCAACACCTGCCCTTCTGAAGGCACGAAAGCATTGGTAAAAAGTTCCAGGAGGCGTTTCGTTGGAGCTCCGCCTCCGGTGTGGGTCTTGCATTTGGAGTTAGGCTTAGGTGTGGGCGCGATACGGCCTTCGGGTCATTGCTTGGGGAATTAGGAGTTGGAGCCCTATGTGCCGCAGGGTTCGCGATTTAGGGTTAGCAGGACTTGGGTGTTATCCAGGCAAATTCCGCAGCGAACAAGGGATGGCTCGAACACTGGCACACGCTTTTGGCACCTCAGGATTTGAGTTCTTGAAATCTTCGGAGCGAAGCCAGGTTCGGGCGTCTCGTCTTTTCCGGACATGCCATTAGCCTGGGCTCCATAGCATCGTCAAGAAGCAGCTATTGCTGCCCAGAGATTCCAGTGGAAATGTTGGTCATATGCCATTCATCACATTACATATGTTAACAAGAACAATTGGCAGTTGAATTTTTCAGCGTGCGGTAGCAGTGAAGAGTAGATAAGCAGATTACAAGCAAACGACGTCACTGAATCAGGAAGTACCAGGCGAAGCCGAAACGGACTTCCCCAAACACTACCGCCCTCTCCTCATTACTCAGGAAGCATCGCTAGAATTCCGCAGGTCTTGATTTGTGGCGATGACCGCACAGATGAGCTTCCTAGCTGGCAAATATGGTAATTCCATGCTCACTTGGGGCATTAAGACGGCAGGGGTAGCCCAGTAGCCCTGGTTCGATTTAATTGGCCACCTGGGGTCTTAGAAATTAGGACCAGCAGCACAGATGTGGAGATGTCCGTCTGTTAGGGGTACCACGGGTTCCTGCACCGTCTTCTACTACAACATGGGGATCCCCCAATGAGGCAATGGGGGAGTAGATGTAGGCGAAGCCCCACACGATCTTGACAAGTGCTGGGGTCGAGCAGTGTTCATCAACTGCTTAAATTTACTGAAGTCTTCGAACTTGGCAAGTTATCCCTGGTTTGGCCCTAAAATATGCCTACGATCCAACGTGTCTCTGACAGGGACAATTTTGGAAGCTATGTTGCTTTTGTCGAGGCATAGCAGTCATTGTTCGGTAGGTTTCGGCTAGGGGGGAAAACTCTGCAGGGAATTCTGCTTTTACTAGTAACGGCCTTCAGCTCATGACCAGGGTTGCCCCGCCTCCACATCGGAGTCTAGAGCCTAGGGACTGCAACAACTGATTCTTGTTGAAACATCAAATCCCTACAAGGGCTCCTGTAAAGAATCCCAATCCATCATATCTTCATGCTCATCCAGCCGTAGCCCGTGTAAAGGAAAAATAACAGAAAGTACTGTAACTTGCATGCATACATACATACATACGTACATACATACACCTTAAACATAAACCCTAAACCCAGATATTCATATATCCCATATATCCCTAAAGCTCCCCTGTGTTAACACAGTCGCATCTGAGGTCCATGTTCCAGGAGGCCCCGAGCCATGCCTACACTGTCAAGATCGGCCCGGGAGAAACAGCGGCAAGGCCGACTGTGAGTTGTTTACTGTAGAGTTTATAGGGTCCAGGGAGTTCAGGGCTTAGGGGGTTTTGGGAGTTCAGGGTTTAGGGTTTAGGGAGTTCAGGGCTCAGAGGCTTCAGGGAGTTCAAGGTTTAGGGTTTAGGGAGTGCAGGGTTTGTGGTTTTAAGGCTTAGGATTTCAGCTGTAGCGTTCAGAATTTATTGAGGCCTGTAGGCCGGTTGCCAAAATCAAAAATGTTTAGAATTGTCGAACGGGCTTTGGGTATTCAGGGTTCAGAATATATAACCTCAATAGATCCCCAATATAATCCCTTAAAACCTTATAAAACCCCAATAGAACCCCTATATAGAGGGTTTTGGGGTTTGAAGCTGCGGGCCTTGCCCAATTTTGTAACTTCGGGATTTCCCGACACAAGCCACTTTAAATCTGTAAAGCCACACACTTATGGCTGTTAAGATAATTTGGCGGGGAAGCCTCATTCGTCAGTAGTAAGGGTGGACGGAAGGTTCACTTCTTCTTTAGTCCTTGAAGCACTCCCTCTAAGGAGGCCCACGAGAAGCAATCCATATAAGGTTTGCAGAGTTAGGTTGGTTATGCCTAAGCATGTTGGTGAGTGCGGATCCAGCCAGCAATGAGGCCCTGATGCAAAAAAGGCTGGTTTAGCACACCTTCATGCTGCAAAGCAAGCTACTGCCCTGACAGCAGCATATCCCTCAGCCGAAGCTTTTTTTTCAAGCAACGTTTGTAACCTAGGCTTTGCAACTTCATTCGATTCAGCCCTATGACCCACAATCACGGCCCTATGACTCCGAATTCACATTGAGTACATTGGTTTATCAAGGTTTCGCCAACCTCCTCCACAACCGTTTGGATTGTAAAGCCATATGAGTTCTGGCTTAAACAGGGATATCACATGCTCCGGTATAGAAATATATAGCGTATGATTCTATTCTGGCTCCGGGTATATTTCAGCAGAGGAACCGAATAAAAGCACATTTTGCAAACCACACAGCACTACCGATATGGACCCAGCCACGCGTCATCTGAGGACTTGGGCCAAGTCCTCGAGTCCTCAACCTATAAGCGCTTTTCGGTATGGTTTAAGCTGCTTCGGCCCTGGGCAGACTGTTCATTGCAAAGCCTCCTGTGAGGACCCTAGCGTCTGTCACCAAGCCAATTTGCATGAGACTCGACATTCCTGGCATGCTAATGATTCCTTTGCATGCTTAAGTCCGCACCTTGATGAGCACACTTCGTAGCACTGCCACCGTGAAGAAGATGAAGCTTGTGTGCATGCTTGTCAGCAGAAGTTTCAGCTACCGCTATAGATTTGTTGCCCCACTCATTCCTGCAATGCTGCGCTGCCGCTGTTTCCCACTGCTACCACTGTGACGGCCGCTATTATTACACAATAGAACGCTATTGCTATACAGCCACCACTATGACCACTGCGCCCGCCATAGCCACGAGGGTAGGGTGACGGCGGCGGCGTCGGCGGCGGCGGAGGAATGGGCAGTGTTGATTGCCACGGCGGAGGCGTCGACGATTGTTACAACACTTACAATGGTGATTATGGCTGTGCTTTTCGGGGAACTTAGCAGGTATCGCCTGCCAGCGCCTTCTGACGTCCGGCACTTCCTCGCCCTCATTGCAGTCTTATGGCTCAAAAATATCATCTTAGGCCGTAAGCCCTCGTATGGGTGGGTAGGTTTGTTTGGGTAGCCGGAGCTCATTAATGACTCCGCAAAACGAGCTCTTTTATGTCAGAAGCTTCAATCCCCGCAAAGGTCTAATACAATTCCGGAAGTGACATGAAATTTGGTGGTCAACAAGGAGGTTTGGCGATGACCATTTGTTCTGTTCTTTCGAGGGTTTCATGTGCATCTCCGTTGAATCGGTAAGTAGAGCGGCGCTGGCCCAATTTTAATGGACTTTTGATCGTGCTTGATGGTAAAAGGGCCCTTCAAAACACGCATTGAACTGCACATGCGCGTGGAATTTCAAGCTCGCAACCACGATGCGCAGGTTTGAAGAAATGGGCCCCCTGTACTTCAGCCTGGGGTTGCCGTGAACTCTATAGACCCTAAACCGTAATTTCATGCGTCTTTCCTGTCTAGCCTGGTGTCGCGATGTGCGTGTTGACAAAGGATTCCTCAAAACATCAACGCTGCAATTCCACCAGAAAAGCGTTCTTTCAAGGGTCCACGTCGGTATGGGTTATACACTTGGGGCCCAGAGGGCTTCCCGTAGACCTCATTTGGCGCCTAGGTATATGCTATGTATCTACGTGGGCTCTTGGGGTCCATGCATCTTCTTGGAGCACCAAGTTGCAAGCCGTACTCAACAGTGGCCCATAGGTTTTTTGCAGGCCCTAAACCCTAAGCCCTAAACCAACCCCACCTAATGCTACAAAAACTTGGGCGTCTGGAAGGGAACTGAAATTGCGTTATCACATTACTATGATGCGGATGTATGGTGTATAAGCATTCTTTCCTTACAATGCCAGTGGACTGGTATAACCGAAATGAAATTTCATCACAGCAGCCAAAGTCATCACACTTCTAGGGTATATTTCAGAGATGAAGCCTGCCCAGTACCTGTGTAGTCCTATGCTGGACACCTGAGCTACCTGATCGTCCAAGCGCCCAAGAATACGTTGCCCTCATTAGAAGGATCCCGAGGCACGACAGACCCACATCTCACCAAACAAGCGGGAATCATAAGCATATAGTCCCCCTTAAGTACATAGAATATGGCTCTGGGTATGCTGTAAGAAGATCCCCATATACCCCATATTGCACCTACTTAAGGGGGGACTGTATACTGATAGTAGCACGAGGGCTAGCAATAACAAAGCAACAGCAATAGCAAGACTGTTCACGGCAACAGGAAAAACGCACATGTATATTAAGGGGAGAGAGGAACTCCTGGCCAACTGTAGTTTTAGAGCCAGTCGCGAGATAGATCGGGAAGGGAACCATATGCAGCCTGGCCTGAAGATCAAATTCCCAGCCCGTTCAAGTTGTCAAATTGTCTGTTCTAGGGGATGTGCCACTGGGTGACTAGATCAAAGCACCAGATTCTTGCCTGGTTTTGCTCTCTGACTGTCTCTCCCCCCCTGTGCGGCTCATTCCGCCGATATCTTAGCAATTTAATGATGGTGCATTTGGAGCCTTAAAGAGCTACTGTAAAGGATTGTTATGCCATACCCGCCAAGGGTACCCCATGGGGTTTCAGCAGCAAACAAGGGAGTGGAAGTGTGCATTTTGTTTGGGAAGCGCTGGGGAGGGCCCTACACCTTAAACCCCAAGCCGTCAACCCTAGACCCTAAATTGTGATTTCCATTTTTCTGTAGGGGTACCCTTTTTGGGATCCTCATAATTAGGATTGTAGTACTTGGGGGGTCCCATAATTTTAGGAAACTACCATATACCCCCCCTGCCTGATGTTGAAAGTCCAAGGGGCAAAGCTTGGCAGATGTTGGAGGCGACACGGACCTTACTTCTCGCAGTCGAAGCCCCTGTGGCTGTTTTTGATCCCTTCCTCCGTGTTAGGTGTGTTCCGCCTGTTTAAGCTTTACCCATGTCAGCATGACATGACAGAACTCTCAAGCCCCTAATTCCAGCGAAGCCTCATAAGAATCTGCGGAATGTGGATTGTTGTCTTTTTGCAAGAGATCCTACAACATCATGCAAAGGGACGCGCCTTTTGAGCCCGCTGGAGTCTCCCCGTGGCCCGGATGAGTGGAACATTTTCCTTACGCAGGCCAACAAAAGCCAAGACATGGGGTTTTGAAAAAATACGGGGTGCTCGTGGGAAGTCCTAGCACGAGGCTTACGGTATTGTGGGGTGTATAAGGGGTCGCGTATCTCTGGGAATTCAAAAACTTCCATATACTGAAGCTGACAAAGAGTTGCACGCCATTCCCAAAAAGCTTTTACGTGCTGCTGAATGCTTCTAATTACATCGGCTTTGGCATTTTTTGGGTCGCAAAGACTATCTCCATAGTCCTTCCTACGTAGCCCTATAGCCTGGTGCAACCCTGTCAAACCCCATACGTCCCATTTAAATCCCAACGCCACCTTTGGGTGCCTACTCCGGGATGTTAAGTTCCAACAACACGGTGGGGTACACCTTATTTCCTAGAAACCCTAATCTGCAAGTTTTCAGGCAGGTGAATAAGGACTTCTGCAGTCTCAGGTTTGCAGTGTGGGCCACTACTATGGGCAACGACTTCCCGTAAAAATCCTGGAATCCACCTCTCAAGGCTTAGGGTGCAGGGTTTACGGAGACGTGCAAGATTTGGGGAAGGCACCTTTAATCTGAGAATCCCGAAGACCCAGCCCCTCCACGTTGAAACGACTCAAAGGTGATAGCTGGCAGTATCATAAGTAGTCCGGGTAGCACTCATAGCATAGAAACAGTGGTCATCAAAGTCATGAAGCCTTCACTACACCCCCAACCCTGAAGTGTAGTACCAGTCGTAGACCGAGGTGAGCAGCGACGAGACTCCGAGAAAATCTCGCGATTTTTTTCCTTCAAAGAGGAGGTGCCGGGGGCGTTGCAAGAGTGGTGTAAGGTTTTTGGGTTGCCATGATTGTGCAAACACATTTTTCTACTACGTTTGGGGTTCAGCAGCTAAGGTTCAGGACTCAGTGACTTCAGGGGTTAGTGTGGTCAGGATTTAGGTGCTTTGAGTGCCGGACATGGCCGTCCTTGAGTTGTGAGTTCCTGGAAGCTGCAGCCCATATCATCTTGACGGGCCTTGTTCAACACTTCCCCAGTATCCTGAATAGCTGCCATCTTACAAGAACGCAAGCATGTCCGCTATAATAGAAAGGTTGTAACTTTTTTGCTAATAGGGGAGAGGGTAGGTCATTTCCATTTTTTGGAAAAAAGTCCAGAGGGCAGCTCGATGGAATGTCCGATGTGGAGTTATCACATCAGTGGCTAGTCAAACCTTCACCGCCCCAATGCCAAATTCCACAAGTTGTGGATCATTCATTCAGGGGGCGGGGAATCGCTGGTGGTGAGAGATGAAGTCGCAGCCTTAAGGGCATAAGGGCTTCCCTGGGCCTCCCCGGCGCCTATCGTAATACGCCCGTGTAGCCAACTTGTTCAGCGATTTTGGCGTTACAGCCATTTTTGTGGGTCTTCATGTCGTCAAAAAAGGCCCCAGGGCGGTCTAAAGGGCCCAAGGACCCAGATAAGAGGGTTTTAGGGCCCAAATACCATTAATATTATGGTATCCTGCCCTGCGGCCACATGCCACGCCATGTTTGTGGGAGTCACTGGTCTAGGTTGTGCAGAGACGCCTCTCCCATAAACCCTCAGCCCATACCCTGAAGCCTGAAACCCGGAGCTCACGCCTTAGACGCCTTACAAAGTTGAATATCCTTAACATAACCCCAAGATAACCCTATTGTTACCCTAATATGACCCCAACATAACCCTAATATAACCCCAAAATTATGGTGTGTCAAACCGAATGCAAGCCAGCAGCTTACAAACCCGCCATTTCCATCCGAATCCCAACAAGTTCTTTGGATTTCTGATGCAAGTCTGCTAGCCTGAATTTTGGGTTAAATGCTCAGGATTTCGAGTTTAAGCCCCACAGTCTAGAGCCACGCCCCAAGATACGACAAAGGTCTTTTTAGTTCGGGGCCTGCCTCTAGCCATAGGAGAAGCATCGGCGTCTTTCGGCATGGCACAGCGTCGCAGCTTGTCGGTACAAGACGCATCTTAGGATGTAGCTCCCGATGGACATATCACCAGGAAAGAATGTGCATGAACCAGCAAAATCGGAGAACATACGAGTGTCTACAACGCAGAGCACCGTCTCGTATTTGGACTCCAGGTATTGATATTGAGGCCTCTGTACATGCAATCTGCGTGCGGGGCCCCGAATGCTGCGAAGCTGACCGGATGTCTGGAAACATCAAAAGCATGGGATGTAGAAGTTTAGGGCTTATGAGCCCAGGATCAGCTGAAGATGCATCCTGAATGTTTTTAAGGCCTGAATGATGGAGGGGCATTTGAACGGGTAATGGGCACGACGGCGAGGATAGCAAGAGAGTAGGCGGTGTTGTTTGTCATGTCCTTTCTGCCTGTGAAAGAAGACGCTTCTGGCTTATCTACTCAACGGCTCTGGCTGACTTGGGTTATTAATGCGATTCATTATAACTCGAACAAAGCAGTCAAACAAAATAGAACGGCTTCGTTTTGGGAAGCCACAAGGACGTCAAGGATCCAGATGAAGATGCTGCTCAGAGTGCAGTTCATTGGTTCTCCTAAGGTGGTTTAGGGGTCAGCATCTAAAAAAGGGACTCTACAGTAGGATTTGGGGTGGTCAAAAGTATGGCCTGCCCCTATGTATAGCTGATTGGTTGTTAGTAGGGAATGAAGGAATGGAAGAACATAAGGAAACTACTGTATTCTGCTGAGCTACATAGGGGCTGCTACCGTAGACAAAGGCGCTCCACAGACGCTGCGTCATATAAGCCATATATACATATATACATATACATAGACTCCTTAAATGGGGTTATATAGGGGAGTACTATAGGGGATACTTTCACGGGAATGCTAGTGTTTAGGCTACAGCTTATATTGCTGTGTTCCGGCGTTTTGTAAGCATCCCTTTGTAGAGCTTTTCGGAGGGCCGGGCTTGGAAACAGCTTTGCTGACAGCGCCCATTTCCAACAAGAGGGTTCTTGGTTATAGTAGGGTTATATTGGGGTTGTTAGTGTTATTGGTATAATGGAAAAGAAAATGGAAACTACTATGCAGCAAGGCTGTTCACGGAGGGCAATTTGCCGGTGATTTTGTAGAAAAGGTTCTTACACGTCAGGAAAAATGACACGTAACCTTGTTGACAATGCAGGGTAGATGCTGAAGTGCGGAAAAGATGTGGCTTGGGTTTTGAGTCGTCTCACAGATTCCAAGATCTCCTCCAGGAATTGCATCTCGCGAATTGCATCTCGCATTCAGCGTTCTCGAAACCTTTTGAGAGCCCTACCGGAAACGCCCATATTAGTGAGGAAAACGATGCAGAAGCTGAAGACCCACTCGCTGGACTTGGGGAGACTGAGGAGTTGACGGTTGAGGCTTAAATCCCAGGCGCGGCTCAGAAGACTTTACATATATGAGCTATAGTCTCAACTCCTTCAACAGGGTGTTATAGGGGAATATATAGGGAACCATTATGGGTGTAGGGGGATACTAGGAGTTTAGACTATAGCTCATATGGATCAGCTCCTGCAGGTTGAAGGTGAACTGTTGTCTCCTACCCAGACCCCCTAAAGGATCCAAAAAATGGAGCCCCGAAAGTGATCCCCTTTACTACGTTGGGGAGACTAGGGGATTATTCCGAGGTTCCACTTTTGTTAGATCGTTTAGGGAAGCTGGATAAGAAGGGCAAGTAAAATGAATCAGACGTCATGGCCGTTGGTGGAAGCGTAGCTTCATGCTCAGCATTAGAGTGCCTCATCAGAGAGGACTTGCTTATGATGTGGGATTATAGCCCCGGAGCTCTAAGCCTATAAACGCTGGTTAATGAGATTGCATACTGAGGGCCCTAGACATACTACCTACTTTGGGCCAGTTGGAGCCTAGGGTTTGAGTTTTGCAAATGTTCGCGGCGCTCAGCAATCCCAGGACTCCCACAGTGCATATTCCCAAGATAAGGTCCAAAGAACTGCGGTCAAGGAACTACTCAGACCCGTGCCGCAACTAGAAACTTTTACTAGGCCACACCGGTGCAAAATGCATGTGACGTTAAATTGTCCCAGGCAATGGGGGCACTCCAAGCGAGTTTCACACTGCCCAAGCATGAGAAGCCGCACATGCTCATCTTGGGCCCACCCGCGGCTTCCATTCAGGATGTTGAGTGAGGGTGCTCCAAGGTTCCACCTGCGCCAATTTAATGGCCGTTTGAGAGCCTCTCCATTGCTTTGCAAGCAGTCGCGCAGACGAAGACAAAATCGACCGGAGGGTCCTGTGCCATTGTTTCTTGGAAACCTTAACGTCACATAAAATTCCTGCATAGCTCAATATAACACTAGATGTCCCCTATAGTTATATCCTGTTCCCGTCCCCTAACCTTTCGAAACCATCATATGGCAGCAGGGGGGGAAGAATCTCAGGCTCGGAGAGTAGCCAAAGACATGTAGTAGTAGCCTGGAAACCCCCCAGCAAGAAGTAGAGGGCCTGAATAGTTAGTATTCTTATGATTATCATGCTGGTTTGTACCAAGATCTCCTAAAGCCTTATAATGGTAGGTAACCTTAAACTGCCAAAAATGGGCATACAAGTTCGCATTCTAGATACCTTGACCGTCCAACGACCTACAAGACTAGCCCAAAATTGGTATATAGGGTGGCCCTGGCTTTAGTGCCCAAATAGCATGAATATCATAGTATTCGAGCCCTGAAACCCTCTTATTTGGGTCCTTGGACCCTTAGAGTAATGGAGTAATGAAAACTAGGTAATCCTAACCCTGCCCTGCTTCCGACTTGAAGCCGCATTGCAGCGTTTGAGAGTTTCTTTTGCGCATAGCAGACATGGAGTTTAGTAGGTTCGGGGGTAACAGTCTCGATTGCAAGCAGAATAAGGAACGATGCGACCCTAACCTACCCTAAACCCTAAACCATATCAACTTATCAACTTTCAGCAAGGTGAGTTCTTCCTCAGGGTTCTTCATGACGCCTTTGAGCTGACTTTCAATGGTAGTAGTTCCCATAATTATGGGCTCCTTTTGTTTCTAGATGTATTTTGCGGTACCTAATATTTCAGGGGTACGAAAATGGGACCCTTATTCTGGGAACTCAAGGCATGAGCTTGTGGTGAAACCCAGACTCGATCCTCAGCTGAGCTTTTGACTAGTCATACCCCCAGTTGTCTCCAAGAAATTCCCAGATCTGCGCCCCCCATGTCGGCTTTCTTGTGGCCGCTGGTCCTTTCTGCGTCTGCTGCAACGGCGGCCGCCGTTGGTCAGGATCGCGGTGTAGGCGTATAGTCGCTATAGAAGTTGGACCCTCATGCAGCACCAGCCACACCGAACAGGAGGAAGCAGGATGTGACGCTGCACTGTTCATATATTGCCCGGGGATGGCCTAACAGACCCCTCCATCCGCCTCAATCCAGATTCCCAATAACATTACCATAGCGCCAATTGTTTTAGGGGGCTTTGAATGAATGTTGCTGTTTTTGGGGAGGTGCAGGTGCGAAGCAAACAGGTCAAAACAAGGATGAACGGTCGAACCTTCAGACGGGTCTGCCGAGATGAAATGACCGAATGCTCCAATCCATGTCAGTTTCGGAAGCAGTTTTCGCTTCCGAACTGCACTCTGCACAAGCGTTCGGTTGCCAGGCGCGGACCCTGATTATTTTCTCTTGCGTTTCAATCCTTAGCCAGGACTCACCATGCCGAGCTTCTGATCATGCACGCGCGTCTACGGACCTGGGACCTTGCACAAAACCTTCAGCATGCACCTCTATCTCCAATGCGCTGGCCATTTGCTACTTCCGCCGCAGGCGGAATGCTAATCGTTGCCACGGGGTGGCAACTCATTTCTGGTCGCAAGACTCCAGGTTCATTGCAGGCTTTGAGGTGCGCACAACATGCTGGCACCCAACTGGTGCTCCATGCCGAACTGATTGTAACATTGAGCAGCCATGGCAGCTGCTGGAAGCCTTTATAGACTTGGCAAAGGGCTGTGTCCACATCATTTCATCAGCAACTTCCCTTCGTTGGTGGACCATGAGGGGGGCGCGTGGCAAATACACACAGCTTGTCGAGAAGAAAATTAGCAACGCATCATCAGCTGCAAATATCCAACACACATTTCCTGAATGCATCCGGGCTCCCTAGCAGATTCTTTTGCGCAGGACAAACGCACGTTCAGCAGAGAGGGGAAGAACATGTGATAGCATCTGAACTCTTGGCACATGATTCCACACAATCGTTAAGTACAAAGAGTCTGCCAGGGAGCACGATACTCAGTAGTTCTTTCAGGAATATGCCTGAATCATATTAGGGTAGATATTCTTGAACTAAGGTGTACTGGACCCCCTGACACCGTAGAGGCAAGGTGTGGGTACCGATTATTCCAGAAGACTCCGATTGCGCACGAGCGTTGCGAAAATGAGAGGATGCTCTCGCTCGTACAAGATTGTTGGAGACGGCCTTATTTGTTGAACATGTGTTGAGAGGTGCTTGGTTGTCTTGCAGGTCCTCTTGCCGAAAGCATCTTTTGAGACGGCGTGTTCGCTCACAAAAAAGCTCATGCACCCCTGTATGTGAAGTTAATCCATGTGAGCAATCTTCCACATCATGTTTCGGATCTGCCCCACCTCGCCCACAAACCCTGAACCGACTGCCCCGCTCCCGCCGTTTCCTCACAGAGCGAGGCATTGAGCTTCCATAAGAAACCCAACCAAAACGTTCGGCTCTTTAGCAAGGACACAGCGCGGCGCGAGTTGCCGGCCCAAGGAGCACTGCCCTGCAGCGCCTGCGACACGGTTCAGATTAGCGGCAACCCAGTCACTAACAATGTCCAGGCTAGAAACTTTTTCTGTGTTTTTTCTTTTTTTTGACAGGTTGGTATCTATGTGGTATTTAGTCGTCGCCTATTTGGCACGGATGCCATGGGTTTCCAAACAAAGGGTAGAGCAATCCTCTGTCAGAGGTCTTCTTACTGGTTGTTAATCCCCTCCCTCTAATATTAGACCCCCCACCCCCCTAATATTATTTATTCCTAATATATTAAAATATACCACAACTGGAGGTATTTAATAGTAGGGGGTGGGGGGTACTTTACTGTTGAGGGCAAGGGATTGGAAGGAGATGGAGAAATGGATGCTTATGCCTGTGCCCACTATAATGGGTTGCGGATAAGGAACTTAATTTAAGTTACCATATTGGGGAAACCCTATTAATTACTGTAGATACCCCTTATGGTAACTCAATTTAAGTTCCTTAACAGCTCCTTAACAGCAAACCAGTATAGGCACATGTACAAACAGCGCTGCTGGGGTTCTATGAGGTCCCAAGCCATGCTTCCGTGCTTGGTATCTGAGTATCAGAAAAGGATGCCGTGCATCCCTTGTCCCCAGGCCCAACCACATCCACAGGGTTTTAGGGCTCAGGGTTTAGCTTACTGGTTCTTTGTCTGGAATAAGGGAATGTACATACTACCTATATGATGTATTCCGCATTCTCCACTGAGAACCATTAAGTTAGGACGTACAGGTTATATCCAAGTGTTGACTTGACCAGCTTCGGAATTCTGCGAGATGTACCCCTGTGCTACGCCCTCTATCCATAAACCCCGAATCCTTCAAGCATGCGGAGTCTGAGCCTAGGCCTAGGCAAGGATGTGTTCCATTTAGGGGTTGACGAGGTGTGGTTTCTCTGACTTCTCTATTACCTCGCCGGGGGTGTGCATTGCGCTGCTACGGCCATGCAGGTGGCAACAAATCCTGTAATCACCTAAACTTACTGCTTATTGGTAGAGGAGATGGGAGCAGAGTCCACAAATTCCATTATTCCCTACCAACCCCCGGTACTTAAATCTTGGTCTCGGGCCTAGACCGAGGCCTCTGGTCAGCCAAAGCATTGCGTGCTGCGCTGGTGGAGAAGATGCCAAAGTGGCCCTGCAGTGGTTTCCGTTGCTATTTCAGTTCTGTGATCGCCCCTAGGAACTTTGTTGGGAAGATAAGTTGCCGGTTGAAACTTTTGAAGCTCTGAAGTGCTTGACAGATATAAGCCGGAAATCAACTAAACATCCAACTTTCGCAGGTGCGTTGTGAGGATAGGGGGCTTGAGGAAAGGCTGCTTAACTTAGTAGTTTTGATGCTGATGAATATGGGAGTTTTCATGCGAGATTCTTGTGTAGTGAAGTTCCTTAATGGGCAGGTCATGTTCTTTGGTAAGGGCGGTATGGGCTTGCACAGCGTCTGGTATTCTTAAAGCCCCGCCCCAAACAGAAACTAAATTGGTGGCTGAGGATAAGACTTTCAGTGTTCCCACTACTCACCAGCGACTAGCAAGAAAACTCATAAGGGTAGGGGTTCGGAACGGATGTAGGCCTTCCAATGCTAGTATGCGTTTGAGGGAAATATACCCTAAGGGTCCAAGGACCCAAATAATAGGGTTTTCGGGCCCAAATATTACAACATTAGCCCTAAACCTTAGGGATATGGTCTTGAGCACTTGGATCCTGAGGGGTCGTGATTTCCATGGCAGCCGCAACTTGGACTTCCTGGCTGCAGGATACCAGACTACAAAGCTATTCGAGCTAGAGTCAATTAAAGGGGGGGTTATAGGGGTTTGTATGGGGAATTACCACATGGGTTATTCAGGGCGATACTAGGAGTTTAGACTCAAGCTTATTTAGGGCAGGACCCGGCCTGCCCTGTAAAACTCAGAACCAAGAACAGGTGAAGGAGGAACAGGAACCTTTGCTTTGGGTTCTCCCCTTCTCTCTCTCTCTCTCTTTTTCTTTCTTTTTCGGCCCTTGCCTTCTGAATCAACATGCATGAATATACGTTTTGTATGTTTGCTGATTCGAGTGTTCTTTCGGACCAGGGGAGGCAATCCTTAAAGGCTCGGCAATGTCTTCACGTAATTAAAATGCCCCCTACCGTTAATATCATGTGTATACATAAGATACGCACATCACCGATCTTCGTGTAAGAAATTTGTGCGTACAGGAGGTTGACATTGGAGTGGTTGCTAGTGGCATCAGGCGCGTCAAGCCAAAGCTGCAGCGGCGATTATCTGAAGAGGCCGCAGTTGAGAGTCGACATGAATGGAATTGAGGGTTGACGCTTCCCATTGAGGATCGTGGTCTTCCACAAAAAAAGAAGCTCTGCATAGCTCTGCCTATAGCACTTGTTAGGTTCCAAGTGAGCTTCCAAGTGCCTAATTTACAGGTTTAAAAATCAAGGGTTGAATTGTCGCCTTTGCCGAGTGCATATAAGGGGCCTCGGGAATATTGATGGGTGTGTATACTGGATGTCCGCTTCGCGGAGGGCATGGTCATAAGGCCTTGATCATGGGCCCCTGAGAAGGGGCCTATGGGCCCTTAAGACGGCCAGGTAGCCCCTTTTCACAGGTATATGACGGTATGTAAGGACCCCAAGATAAAGGGTTCATATTAGGGGCCATATAATTACTTTGGACCTTAGGCAACCTAATCTGACGCGGCCTTGGATGTAGACATACTTGCATTGCCACTAGGCGCTTGGCCCGTGGCAGAGCGACCATCGACAAACAGACTTTCCAGTCAACGCGATCTGAAGGTTGCAGTCCCTAGATGGCAACTCTCAAAACGTATCATTGGGGCCGAAAAGAGACCGTAGCTTTCGGAACCCCCATGCGAAACGTTTGCAAGACCATTTCTGTGCTTGGATGCAGGTTCTAACAAAATCTGGCGATGATTCAGCCTGCGCATCTAAGCGCTTCCCGAAGCAGGTACGGCTAAGGGTTCAAGGTTCAGGGGCTTGCAGTACCTGGACTTTTAGGGTTCAGGTTGTGGGAAGGTGGGGGTTTACAGTCTAGTGTGTAGGGTTTCAGGACATTGCTTCAGAGAAGGTGGTCTTCTTGCAGACGATCGGATTTAATGACTTCCTACTGGCGGCACGCCACTAGACTGCCGTGAACGCATTCGGTGATGTTCCCACTGGGGCTATGTCTCTATATATATATATATAGACCTATATATATATAGTATACTTGCATGGGCCCCAACATATTCATATGCCGACCCATTTGGGCCCTAACTATATACTATCTGACTACATGGACCTTTGGGATTGGGAAGCGATGGGAGAAGCCTCCTGGTTCGTGAGGTTTATTTCAGGGCTTTGCTTCTGAGGCGTTGAGGCCTTGCGAGTCTTGCTGCTTGATGGTGGTTCGGCCTTTGTGGAAGACATGTGGGTCGAGTCGCCTTGCACTTTCCAAAACACTTGCATCAGTTGTGACTCAATGATGAGACGCCCCATAAACCCGGAGTCTTAACTCTCTGCTCCCCCCAAAATGAATAATGCCTGAACAATTTTTTGCATGATTTGCCTAGACCCGCTCGAACCTGACAATTTGCAGGTTGCAATTTGAAAGGCCGGTTTTCGCAGGTATGGCGCCGACTAACAGGGCTTTCTGCCGAAGTAGCGATTCCCAACCTGTTAAAACCCGTAAATTATTCGTATGCGTAAGAAAGGCAAATGTGCGGCAATCACCCATGTTTCATTCATTTATAGCCCCCCCCTAGGAAACTAAATTGTAGTTTCCATTTTCTTTTCCATTATCCCTATATAACCCCAATATATACCCTATTATCATATAGTAGTTTCCATTTCCTTTTCCATTATCCCCTATATAACCCCTATAATTCTTGGACTATGAAGTTGGTTTTGCACTGCCAAACCTGTCTTCTTTGCAGCACCCAGCGAATTGTTGGGATCGAGCTTCTCTAGGCAGGGACTATTTAGCTCTAGGGCATGGAGGGGGTGTAGGGATAACACACGGTTTGGGGTTTATAGGGTTTAGGGTTTGTAGGGTTTTGGGCTTAGGGTTCAGGATTTAGTTGAAAATTCGAGGGAACGGATTGTGTTGGATGCTCCAAAAGATTACCCTAGGGATCCACGTATACGAATAATTCCAACAGCGGGCCCTGAAGTCTCAAAATATGACCTGCATTGGGCTCTTTGGATCCTATACATGCCTATCAACTCCGAGTGTCCACTTGCTTGTCCAATTCATTCTCCATTAATAGGGTTATTGGCATTTAAACCCTATAGGCCCCCTTTGGATCCCACCGGGAAGTCAACCCCCGGACAGTTGGCGGATATGTAGGCCTCCATGGCTTCGCAGCAGAGACTCCCAATCCGACAGAAGAAGAGACGCACAAATCCTGTTCATTGTGGTGAGATATGGGAACCCCAAAACGGCATGGTCCTTATTACAGGGGAGGCCAGATTGGTATCCCTAAGTTTGAAACAACCCCATATGATTACGACCTGGCATTCAGGGCTTTGCATACTTCATTCTACAACCCAAAGTGAAACGTTCATAAGATTTGTGCGCCATATAGATCTTCACTTATGCCCTTCTCTCGGACGCCGCCAATTCCAAGTTCCATTAGGCACTAGGCCACCCTTGGTCATGGCAACTGCCAAGGGTTCCAGCGTTGTGCCAGCATAACGTTGTGCCCCTGGTTTTTAGGATCCATTTCATGGAGCCGTGGATACAAGCATGTATGTATGTGTGTATATGTGTATGAATATTTTATGTATATATACGGGATCATATAAGCGCGATATCGGGACCTTGGAACTTGCGAATGCAGCTGCTCAGATGGTGCTGTGGGCGCCGAAGACATCAGAGCAGCCTGGAGCACAACATTGCTGAAACATCATGTGAGGTCATCGAAATTGCGGTTCCTTCTTGGGTGTCCCTGTTATGTCGATGGATAGATACACATATACGCAAGCTTGTGTCTGTATACATGTGAAACTATTTAGGGCACCCTGATCTCTATACTCTTGACAACCTGCTGTTACCAAATGAAGATCCTAGTCAGAATGGTAATGTGATATGCGCAGAGCATCGTAGAGCAAAGCATGATCTTTCTAACTTCTTGCTGTGTGCCTAACACGTTCGGTACATGTCTTGAAGTTACCCTAAGTTGGGTTGGGGTCAGCTACGTTACGACCAGTTCAAGAAGTCTCGTGGGATGTAGCCTGCAGGGCTACCACCAAGCCCTAATCCCGAAACTGTGTAGGGTTCCGGGGCCAGATAAGCCCCAATACTCTTAGCGATTCATCAAATCTACAGGCACCCTAAATACATCCACAGAGTTTCAATGCGTCAGGGAGACAGGGAGTGTTTTGAACTGAGGTACAGGATTGGCCAAGCAACTCAATGTGCATGAAGGAAGCTTCTCACTGACCTATATATTAGGTGGACCCTCCACCTTCTAATAATGGCATACTAGGAATAGAAGAGGACCCTAATATAATCCTCATCAACTATCCCTTATAGCCACTATTACTGCATGGGGGTCCTCCTGACCTGCGAAGATTGTTGCAGTATTTGGCATCCTGCACGGCCACAAGATTTCCTCCCTCCAACATGAGGCCCAAATTTTTTGGACTTCGGGAGGGTGTTTCTTACCTCTTGTGAGCTAGGAATGAAGGAATGGATCCTTTTAGTACTCCCTATATAACCCATTATAGTAGTTTCCATGTTCTTTTCCATTCCCAGCTGACCAAAGGTAAGGCTTTGGGGAGCCTGGGGTGCAAGAATGGGACATGTCTTGGGTACGGACGCAGGCATCCACAGCCCTAAACCCTAAACCCAAGGGTGCCATGCCAAGCCTGAACCGTCAAAGCCTCGGCAGAAGCGCTAGGCCTCTTACCCAACCCTAGGGATCCCAAAATACAAATAATACTTACATTGGGCCCTGAAGTCTGTAAATATTGCCTACATTGGGCTAGTGGGATCCTACACGTCCCTATAAACTCCGAGTTTCCATTTAATTTTCATTTGCTTTTCCACTTGATTCTTCACTATTTGGATCCCTTATCCCAACCAATCTATACCCTTCAACCGTGACAGTGGCCGAGGATCGACCCCAGATACGAGGACTTTGATGAAATCCGCGGGGGCAAGTCAAACTCACTTACGCAGCTTAGCTTTGGTTCCATCCCATTTTGTATGAAGTCTCTTTGGGGTTCCATGCCTTCTTGAGGACTAATAATGAACACTGTGGGGGAAGTTTTGGAGACCATGGATTAGCGGACACTGGTTATAAGGTCCCACTTTAGGAGCCCGCATCATCAGCATCCATTAGCAGCGTGATCCTAAGCACCGCTCTCCAGCAAATGACAGCACCAACCAACAAATGCACAACAGAGTGGCAGCAGCCTACAACCTGCTTATTCAGCAATGTTGTCTCTTGGATGCTGCGAGGTCACCAATTCAGTTGATTTCCCACCAAAGTTATTCAGCACCCCCTGTTCGTTTTGGGCTAGGAAGATAAGAACCAAATTCTATCCATGAAAAAACAAAGGCTGGACAGCTGTCAATTTTATAGGCCTTCCAATGTAATTTGTGGCAGGGCTCTATTACTTAAAGATCTCGCGGCTTTGGAATGTGACACCTGGGGCCACCAGAACACAAAGGTGGTAGTTTCCCAAATAGGGGGACCCCAATATGGACCCTAATATACTCCAGTCCTTATGATTGGGAACCCTAAAGGTTACCCTGAATTTTGGGACACCCCCCATGTTGTTCAATTGTGTACTCGGTCAGGTCAATCAATAAACCTCCAAGGCAGGAGGTGGCCCAGCAGGGCTCTCCGGAACCGGGGGTACACACAGGGGTTATACAGGGGTTATCACCCATATTGGGATTATGTTGAGATACTGGAAAATAGAATGGGAACTGCTATTTAGGGTTTAGTGTTTAAACATCGACTTTCGTTGGCCTCAAGTATGTTACGGTTTCCTGAGCGGGTTAATTTGAGGCTGAGGCCCGAAAGCTATGAACCCTTGGCCAAGCTTCTGTATTTCAAGATTTTGAGGCTTGGGAACCTGAAGCAGGGGCCACCAGAAAACGGATTCGTCAGTGAACCACTTAAACAATCAGACCCAGAGATCAGATTCCAAACCTCTGGAACTTCAAAAACAGGCAGTTTTGGGGGTCTCAAGTATGTCAAGCTTTGATGGGGGCTTAACTGTGAGGCCAGAATCAGAAAGCTATTAATTGGTTTGAAAGGCGCGGTTGAAAGGCGCGGCTTTTTAACGCAAAGGCCAGGATCTATTGCGAGGATCCAGCTCTACCTATCATTCAATATGAAGCTAAAATAAAGTGAAACACTCGCTGCCTTTCCCTTCTCCCAGTAGATTCACCCCTCCCCTATTTCATTCGAATCCACTGCAGCCCCCGTGCCGCCCTCCCTTTTCTGTTCGGGGAGGCCATGCGGGCTTTTGTAAGGCTTGGACATGGAACCCAACATGGGCCCAAACCCTGTACAACGTTGGGAAGGGAACCCCTGACAAGCGACACCCCCGCCAAAACCCTGTAAAGCGATGGGGAAACCTGCAAAGTGACAACCCCCAATATTACGACCAGTAGGCAGCCATCAAGCCAAGACAGACGCTCATCTAAGATAATGAGTCCAGGTGTCATATAGGCGCGGCGTAGAGTGAAGGGTTTGCGGGAACATTCTTGGGCTCTGAACACAGCCTGGCCAAGGAGTGAGCACTTCCAGCTTTTGGCCAGCAGTGCCGAGGCGAAGGGCAACGTCACCGAGGTTTGCACCACCCTACTGAGGAGCGTAGCTGAGTGGAGTCCCGGTGACACAAGAATGAAGTAATACACTGATACAGTCCCCCTTAAGTAGAAAGAATAATATGGGGTATATGGGGATCTTATTTTGATATACCCAAAGCCATATTCTATCTACTTACGGGGGACGAGTCATTCTCACCAAACATCGTAGCGCTGTCGTTTGGCAGCAGTGGTGTTCGACGACTGCTAGTAGTATTGCTGCTGCTGCTGCTGCTGCGGCGTATTATCAGTAAAACTATTATGATTTCTATTCACACTACTACTACTACTACTACTACTATTATTACTACTACTACTACTCCTACTACTCCTACTACTCCTACTCCTCCTACTCCTACTCCTACTCCTACTACTACTGCTGCTGCTACTACTGCTACTACACCTACAACAACAACAACAACAATAACAACAACTACCACTACCACTACCACTACCACTACCACTTCAACTACAACTACAAGTACAACAACAACAACAACAACAACAACAACAACTACTACTACTACTACTCCTACTCCTACTCCTACTCCTACTCCTACTCCTACTACTGCTGCTGCTGCTACTACTAGTACTATTAGTACTAGTACTAGTACTAGTACTACTACTGCTACTACNNNGCTGCTGCTGCTGCTGCAACTACTGCTACTGCTACTGCTGCCGCTGCTGCTACTGCTACTGCTACTGCCACTGCTATTGTTGCTACTATTACTGCTGTGTAATTGCTGGCCAGCGCTCGCCAGTGCTCGCTCCTTTGGAGCGGGAAACTAGGTAAGCTCCCAGTCACATTTCATATGAGCTATAGTCTAAACTCCCAGTGTCCCCATATAATGCTCCCCTACATAACCCCCCTTTAAGGAAATCAGACGATAGCTGAAATGGGCTCTATGTTTGGAGGAGCCTTGGGTGGATTTCTCTCTGCCACTATCTACATTTTTCGGCCGCCCAACCCCTGCTTCATCCAAGACGCTTATCAGGGTTTAGGGTTCAGGGCATGCTATGCAGGATCTTCTCAGATGACATGGTGGAAAAGTGTGCGCGGCACGAGGTGGAGAAGGAGGTAGTTCAGCATGTCTATATGTATGTTAAATGTTGCAGAACGAAAAAACCGACACGCCCCAGTCTCGTGCTACTCGTGGAAAATATTTAATAAGGTGCGCGGGTTGGGGTTCATTTTTTTCAGCTCGTAGACTGGGATAGACGTGGGTTGATTAGTGTGACAAGAGGCTGCACATCCACATGTTGCCAAAGCATCTCGTAGAGCTGCAAGGAAGAGCGACGACGCTCCTGGCATGCGATGGGTCTAAGTAAACCAAAAGGTGCTTGTAGATAAATAATCTGTACTTAGCCCAAAGGGGTTCGCATAAAATTTGAGGACCGAGCATTTACTATATAGCCAGATAGACAGTTCGGGAAAGGTCCGAGGCCGTGAGGTGAATTAGGAATGCCGTTGTTCCTCTTTGGAGGTGCTAGGGAGGCCTCCGCCAGTTGAGGGACATGCCCACGGTGCACTTGTGCGGCAGATACCTTGCACTGCAAATCCAACCCAGGCCTCCGAGTATCTGTCAACAGTTTAATTTGTCTAAACCATGACAAGTATAGGCCTTACGCATTGCAGTTAACATAGGCCAAAATCTCATTCTACCTGCTACATAGTGCGACATAGAACGACCCTACACGCACGGGCACTAGACGAGTGGACCGTGGTTGCTTTGATCTTGAATGTGCAGGTTCTCCCATGTGTGTCCTACGAAGCTTCAAGGCTTAGTGTACTTAGGGTGCCCAACCCTAAGGGTCCAAGGACTCAAATAATAGGGTTTTAGGGCCAAAATACTATAATATTAATGACAGTTGGGCTTTAACGCCCTTTTATTTGGGTCCTTGGACCCTTAGGGCATCGCTTTCAAACGGCAGCTTTGGTGCTCTTGACGGACAGGGTCGCATCTATGGGGCGCTCACCGATCACTGGCTGTGTTACAGAAAGTCTCAGCTTTGTACCACCAAGGACCCCGTGCTGCATTCGTACATTATGTAGGCAGTTCTGATACGAAATTGCTGCATCATCCTATGTACGAGAAAACTCTGAGGGCTACAACGGTTCAGTAGTACCCTGGTCATGCAGAGGTTTTAGTAGCAATTGCAGATTAGTGTGTTGGCGCCAACGGCTTCAGGGGATCAACTTGACCGTTGCCAAGCTGACGGATTCTTAGTAGGGAAAAAGGCAATATTGCCCCTATATACTTTAATCCCTATATGATATACTCATTCATTTCCTAGACCCTAAACCCTATAGAGGTAGAGTCGAAACTCCTTAAAACGGGTTATACAGGGGAATCCATATGGGCGTGTTATAGGGGTTAGTAAGGGGGATACTCGGATTTTCGACTATAGCTCATCTCATGTATTCCCATCTTCCCTACTAGGAAACAGTAAGTCAGCAGTACATCATTTCTTTTCGGAGATGCGAGGCTTAGCTTGAAGTCCAGATGTCCAAAAGCGCAAGCCCAACAAGCATGGAATACACTCTAGAGTCTATCCCTGTGGATCCAAATACCCCAATGTCGGTGAGATTTATAGACTTGAGGGCCCAATGTAGGTAGTATTTATATTCTTGGACCCTAGGGCTATGAGATATTCAGTTTCCATGAATGAACCCTACAATGATGGGCGCAGCATAAACTCGCAACTTCCCACGCTAAATTCCCAGAACCTTTCGGGGGTAAAGTTCTTGCCTGTATATCCCAGGTTTCCAGAAGAGTTGCTATATTTAACTACCATTTCAGGAAAAGGCTGTGGCCACACGCATTTGAGCGTCCTTACGCCCACCGGACGAAGCTCAGGAGGCACCTCCTGGCAAGGATGACGACGAGGATTACGAGCGTGAGGAAGATGAGGATCTCTGAGCCACTTCCTGGTGCTTATACGGGGGTAGGGTTTGGGTTATCCTTGAGAATCAGTAGTTCCCACATATGATTGTGGTCTCCAAGGGTCCTTTTGGTCAAATGCCTTTAATACTGCGTTAGTGAGTGTATCTATACTCTTCCTGAGGAAAATTTGAAAACTGGTGAGGTTTTGTGCGTCCATGGTTGAGATACCATATGAGTCATTGTCTACACTCCTAGTATCCTGCTTAATAACCCCAAAAGAAGTCCCCTATATAATCGCTACATAACCTGCCACTCAGGAGTTTAGACTACAGCTCATATTTTTTGGCCAAATGCATCAGGAGTCTCATGGGATGTGATAGTGCTTTGCTGACGCGCTTCCCCTCGCGCGCCAAGAAGACTCGGAACGTGCCGGAAAGAGCCCGCTCATCAGGTCCATGTATCCTGAATTCTAAGCGCTTCAGATGTTGGGGAGCGTTGGTTTTAGACGGTATTTGCATGACTTTTTGGAAACTACTGCACGGTAATTCATCATAGCCTGCTTAATGGCTAAACCCCGCCAACCCCTGGATCTCAACGGCTTACAGTAAGTGAACCACATGCATGTTGGACCCTGAAGTCTACAAATAGTACGTGCTTGCGGGCCATAGGAGGTCTGGGGCGGCAAAGTGAGCCCTTAAGGGCTTCTAGGACCTTCGCGAAGCATTCTTCCATGCATCCGCTGTAGGGTTTTGTGTATCTTGTGTTCAGCCTGACAGTTCCTGAGGCAAGGTAGCCCAGATGCAAAAAATGGTGTATTTGGGAGTTGTGAACACTGCGCGCTACACAATCCTTCATCGCTTCCGCCTAAGCAGACCCCCCCTTTAATGCATACTCCCATGTAGCACGACTATATACGAGAAATTATGTGAAACACCCATGTGATCTGCATCACATATTCAGTACATCCGACTGACTCCCTCAGCCAAAAAACAGAATGGAATGAACATTACTGCCCCGCAGGGAGGATGATGTTATCCGTCTTCTTCATTGCGCGCCCAAGTAACAACCTAAGCGCAATGACGTGAACGTTCACCATCGCTCATTGCATCATAGCTCATTGAGCGAACCTTGCTTCTCCCTGCAAGCCTCAGCACGCAAAGAAACCGCAATCAATTTAAAGCTCTCTTGCTCCTTGCAGCTCTAAAAGACACCTACACACTCATAAACCAAACCAAAGGTTCCAAATGCCCTCGCATTGGATCGTTGGACCCTTTGAGCAATTCACGTTAGCTCTCTTAGCGGTTGGACGGGCATCTGGGGAAGCTGACATATTAGGGCAGAGTCCAATGATAATATAAGGGGTCCTCGAGACCCTCTACCAACTGACCCTGATGGACTTCTGGGAAGGCCCCTAGGATATCTAATGTTTTCCCAAATGGCTTTAATAGGGGACCATATATACTAATATGTTTCCATTGGTTTTAGAGGCCAACATAGACCTTCTATGGAGTGTATACATCAGCAGCTCTCATGCCACGCCACAGCTCGTGTGCTTTCTGCCAGGTATCCCTTTTCCTTCTTGGCTGTAGTCCCCTTAAGTAGACTATGGGGTATACGGGGATCTTTTTATCATATACCCAAAGCCATATTCTATCTACTTAAGGGGGACTATGCTAGCCCGAACACCTCCAATCTGAGCGTTTCACTTCTGGCTTTTCAGGTGATGCTAAGGCTTCCAGTTACCCAGATAGTGGGTTACTGGGCTATGTGACTATACGGTATACAGAACCCAGTTCCCCTTGTTCAGGTGGCTGGGAGCCCTAGGGTGATCCATGGCAGTTCCACTCGTTCGCGAATTAGGGCTTGCAGTCTCATGGAGCTTAGTCAAGTCCGTCCCTATGACGTCTGATGATAGCTGGAAGTAGAACAATGATCAACCCATCAAACAGTATAGCTAGGTATCTATCCGCTTACCAATTTCTTCAGGAACCTATCCATCTACCTGTCAATCTCTCTCTCTCTCTCTCTCTCTGTCTACCTGCTATCTATCTGTAACGCCAGAACCTTGCCAGTATCTGCGAATTTGACCAGGAGAATCCTTTTCGGGATCCACCCGTTGCTTCATGTGATTTTCTCTGCCAAAAGTCGGGGCTGTTTTACAGACACGCGTGGATGGCCGCAAAGTGGTTGCATTACAACAAAAAAGCATTGTGATTGTAAGGCCACTGCAAGACAAGACCAATGTTAATGCGTCCTGCTTACTTATAAGGCCGCTTGTTTCGCGGCTGATGGGACTTTGCGAGAGTTATTTGTGGGCTCGTGTGCAAAGACTGTGTGTTGTCTTAGAAGGTTCTTACAGGGAAGGCGAATGCCCTTAGCACACTAACCGCACTACTGTGTGCTCCTACAATGAACATCCGAAGATGCCTCATGATTTTTCAGCCCTATAAACTGTAAACCCTGAAGCAACTAGAAACTATGGGCGTGATACTGTTGTCAACTCATAGTGAGGTCACGTAAACCTGCACCTAAACATGATGCTGTGGTGCTTGTCCTTGTAACCCTAGTATAATATATATATATATAACCCTAGTATAATAGCCCCAAATTACCATGATCCCTATATAACCCTATATAATCCTACTATAATAGCCCAACATTACCATTATCCCTTGTACAGTGTGAGGTTGAGAGTTGGGCTTCAACTTAGGAACCTGAAGAAACTTGGTCAACAACAGCTGAGACCTTGAATCATCGATCTTCTGATTTCGTTTAGGATTTCAGGATTTAGGGTTTAGGCTTTAGGGTTGAGGCTCTAGGATTTAGGGTTTAGGGTTTAGGGTTGAGGATTTATTGTTTAGGCTTTAGGACTTAGGCTTTAGGGTTAAGGCTTTAGGGTTGAGGGTTTATCCAAGGCCAAGGTAAACCAGGCAAAGCCTAAGTCTCGACTTAGGCCACCGCTCGGCTCTGGGAACGACTTTGGCAGGCCCACTATGTCACGTTTAGGGTTTAGGGTTTAGGGTTCTTGGGCTTAGAGTTCAGCAGGGAAATTTGGATGCTATTATTACCATCATTATTATTGCTACTATTAATTAACATTACTATTCTTGCTATTATTTAAATGATTAGTACTATTACTATTCTTACTACTGTTTAAGGCATCCTCCAGGCTTTTAGCTATTCAGGTCTCTGGCTCAGCGATTTAGGGTTACGTTAAAGGCTTTGGGTATGTTTGTTGTCTCGTGGAGGTCTTTGCATTCAGGAGTTGAGATTTAAAGCAAGGACTTCACGTTTCCTTAGCAGTCAGGCGGCTTGTGGTGGGATGATGTAGGATGAAGCATGAACCGCATCGGTGAGTAAAAGCAAGAATGAAGTGCATACAGCTATTGGGTAAAATCCTCGAAAGTTACCCTGTGTCAGCCCCCTCGCAAGTAAATTGTTTTTGAGGTGGATTTCTATTGAATGTCAGAAAAGAGTTCATGGGGTGATATCTGGTGTGCGTGGCTTTTGGTCTCATGGCCATCAACTTTAGTTGGGCGCTTCTTTGGCATTGCCCGTTTGAGGTCTGTTTGGAGAGCCCAAATAGCAAATCATGCCTTTTATTCTAGCATTTCAAAGTACAGCACATTTCGAGAAAATGTTGATTCTCCTGCCACAGGGAGGAAAGCCACCGAACCCCACCTTCGGCACAAATCCAGTAGATCACGGAAGTTATCTTACATGGGTTACTTCTGCTCAGCATAATTGCTAGAGATTTGTCTGGGTTGCTGTTAAGGAACCTCGAATTACCACGGCTGGAATGCACAGTAACCAGTATGGTTTTCTTTGAGCGGAACATGAATTCCTGAGTCGATGAGAGCAACCCAGTTGCTTGACCTTACATTTGCCAACCCTTAGCTGGTTAATCCTAGGCAGCCAAAGCGAGTGGCAGAGACAAAGTACATGCAAGAATGATTCAATGATGGCTTTCTACTGCTCAGACCCTTTAGGACTTTGACTGCTGGGTCTACTTATGCAGGCGCAGAAAAGTACCTAAGAAGAGGAGCTCATGAATTACTTCATATGGTGTTTCTCAAAACAGTCGTTGCATCATCTGCAGAAAGAACCTCCCCTGAGTTCACATTTCCCCCATTCTGCGAAACATCTATATGGGGGCTTCCCGAACTTTTTGGCGTCCCTACAATGCTTATAGTGTTTGGGGATGTACAGTGGGGCCCCCCTATTTCTGGAAACTACCATAGTTGTGTTTATATCACAGTCATGGAACGCCCTTCATGTCATGCGTAGCAGGTCGAGGCTTCGTCATCGTCTGGGCCATGGAGAGAGGGAAGGGTACCCTAGAGCTCCAAGTACCTGAATAAGCTTATGATCTGCAGTCAGTTGGCTTCCTTCTAATTGGGTACTTGAGGGCTGGGGATTCAGGAGATCATCCGGGCGGGCGCAGCGCTGTGATTGCAACTTGAGTGTGGTAGGGCAATGTGGAAGCTTGAATTTGACCCTTAACTACGGGCAGCTTAAAATACCCCAAATCCATGTTCTAGTTCTTCAGCTCCACACGCATTGGATTTCTTCTCAACATGCACGGCTCTGGAATTCTAGCCCTTCCCTTGGTGCTCTTGATGTTCTTTTCAGGGCATGTGTCGATTTGACACTCGTCGCCGCAAATTCCGTCACATGATACCGTTTAGGCCTTGTGCATGACGCCTCCCAGAACTCCCAGATCAGCAAGTGCAACTAGCATGCTTTTGTGCATATGTCTCCCGGCATGTATAAGTCCAGTTTCCTTACGTAAGTTCACTGTCAAACTCCAGTTCCTGGTTCGAATCCCCGGGCGCAAACTCAACTGGAAACGCGACGCTGATCAATCCAGGTGTTCCGTCGGATGAGGAGGCAATCACGTTGTCCAAGCATGTGATTCAGTTTGTCTCTTGCTAGTGGTGAATGAAGGAATGGATCCCGAAGATAATCCCAAGAGATCCCACGAGGAAATTCCGGGCAATCCAAATTGTTGCTTCAATCGATGGTCA